TCACAGCCAGACTCGAGCTTCAAAACCACTCTTCAGAAAACCAGTGGGTGATGTCACAGTGGGTTTGTCCAGTTTTTATATACAGTCAGTGGTGGAGCCACAGGATCTGAGGTAAGATCCAAGTGTGGCTTAGAGAAAAGGCATGAAGATTTTTGTTTGAGGCTTATTGTGTCATCTTATCATATCAGGATCAGAATCAGCTTTACTGACCAGATGTGTTGGACACATGAGGAATTTGACTTTGGTACAGTGGCTCTCAACATGTATGTACAATGTTCTTCCCTAAAGCAATGAGTAGTAAACAAGTAAAAAAGGGTAAACAAAGTAAGACAGAGAACAACAAAAAAGGAAAAGAATGTGCAAACAACAAAAAGGAATATGCATTAAGAAAATAAAAATAAAGTGCTTATAAATATAGAAACGTATATACACAGTTTAGATGCAGCTTTCTAGATATATACAAAGTTATATTTACAGGTATTGTGATCAACTCAAGGTTGCTGCAGCTACACCACAGGACCCGCTGTTCAACCTCCCGCCTGTAGGCCAACTCGTCACCGTCTTGGATGAGACTAATAACCGTTGTGTCATTTGCAAAACTTTAGGAGCTTAACAGAGGTGCAGTCATTTGTATAGAGGGGAGAACAGCAGTGGGGAAAGCACACATCCCGGGGGAGCACCTGTGCAAATAGTCCAGATGGTGGATGTGGTTTTCCCCAGGAGAAAAGATTGAACACCTTTTCTCCTATTTTTGATAATGAATTGTCTGATGTTTAATAGTTCTTCTCTGGTAAAGGTAAACTGGGATGGGTTGCAGAAGACATGAGAACACATGCGAGAGCGCCCTACCAAGGCAGCCATACACGGTGCCATTTGCAGGAAAAAGATGCAGATGCAGAAAACACTGCAGACAAGCAGTCAGTCAGGGACAGAGGACACATCTTGTCAGTTGAGTGAACCAGGCCATTTTTTTTTTGCACTTTATGGAGATAATGCAATTACCTAAAGTTCAAGACCTGGCCCGAATTATGCCCCTTCTGTTCTCGCACTATTTAAACTCACTGAACCATCACTCTTCTGCTTCTTGTTACCCACCAAAGTTCTTCCCCCAACTTTTTATATTCTGCATCTCTTTTGACAATTCTCCTGTTCCTGCAGGGGCTCTACTAGAGCCCCTGAGTGGCAATCCATCTCCTTCCACCCACACTTACTATCATATCTGCATTTAGTGAGGGTAGGTCCCTGCTAGCAAAAATAAAATTACATCGCATTATAGTATAGTTCACTTTATAGTAGTAAACAGTGTCATATAATGGGGCGGGGGGTGGGTGCTGGGGGCCCAGGATCTCTATCAGTACCATTGCCTCTGCTGAGGCAAAATATCCCAACACATTTGTTACAGAAAACAGCTTTAATAACAATAAATATGTTACCCTCATGTATATTAATATACACCCACTAGTTGATTTATTTTATTTTGTTAAATAATTTTTGTAGGAGTCTCTAGGGGGATATTTATTAAACCTATCGCAAATTACAGTCGGGTGCAAAAAATATTGCAGCACCACAATTTTTTCAATTTAGCAGCTTAGTTACCAAGACCAATGATGTAAATGAGCACAGCTGTAGGTTAACTTGGATGCACTTCAGCTGGTAAGGACGTACCTGTACTGCACATGGGTGGATCGAGAGGGACAGTAGAAAAGAATGTGCTTACTGTGACTTAACTTTGATGTTGTTCAAGAAATCAGCAAACATATTTTGGAACTGCAATCATAAATCTTCTGCCAGTGATATCATCTTTTCTCAGTGGACTAAATGAAGTAAACTAAACTGAAGCCGGACTTCTAAAGAACTCTTTCTTTCCCACTGCCATCAGACTCCCAAGCAGCTGACAGGAGTTTATAGCCAGGGATTACTTCATGGAACTGCACCTGGCAGTTTACATTTTCAGTTTGCATATGTATATGCAAAGGGGCAACAGCTCGCCTACAAACAGACCCTGGGTCGGTCCTGTCGGGGTCGGATCTATCAGCAGGAGTGCTTCTACCAGTGCAGGTGGGATCCGAAACAGTTAAACTGTATATAAATACACTGAATGTTCTTGATTGAAGCACACAAATTATCCTATATTCTCTTTAAAAGTACCATAAACATGCTTGTACTGACTGTCAGAACTCCACTTGCCTCCCTGCAAAGTTTGGTAGTGGCTTCTCGTAGCTCGGTAACCGTGTTCCCTGACCAGCCGCGCCTCGAACATTCGTTCACAGCTTCTAGTAGGATTTGGGGCTACTTCCCGATTTGGCAATTCAATTTCAGCGTCATATTTAGAACAAGGAGTTACTTTTTAAGAAAGTCATCAATCAAACTGTTTAAATACTGTGTCATGTTAAAGACAGGGTACTCACATTTCCTCGTGGTTCTCCATCAATTCAGTTTCTTCCGATAAAGAAGCAGCCATTGCCTTTCCCAAAAGCTTTTCCTCATCAGACCCACAACTTAGTATCACACAACAGGAAGTGGAGCGATTTGTATTTCAAAATAAAAACGGAGTTTCTTTGGTTTTAAGGTTAGAAAATCAAGTGCCGTTTTAGTAGGCTATGTGAATAAACAGTTTCTACAAATTAGAATATCTAGGAGTTTGCTGTGCTGAACGTTGTTGTGTTTGGGTTGTTTTGTTTTTGCCACATTTCTACGATCTATATTGTACTCCATCATGTTTTCACACTTTTGTTACTGCTCAATTCAGTGTGCTTAGACCACAAGCATCGTTGGCCCATGACTGTGGAGGTTCTTCCATAGGTGTGCATGGTCTTTCTAAGCAGTGTGTGCAATTTTAAAGTAATATTTATCTTTTTTTACATTCTAATATTTTATCTATATATACATTTTAATGTTTTCTCTGTGTGCATTTTGCATGCATTTAATTTTTTTATCTTTCATGTGCATTGTATTAAGCACTTTGAAATGCCATTGTGTATGAAAATGTGCTATATAAATAAACTTGTCTGAAATATAATTTACATATATTTATATATAATATTTGCATTTAAATCTTGTTTTGAGTCATCTGGCTGGTACAGGAACTTAGATTTCAATTCTGAAATAGAGCCACAATATGGTATTTTTACACTTGTGACAGTTGAAAAAAATATTGTATTATTGTATGTGCTTTTTTTATTATTCAATATTAAAATTCCAACCCCTGAAAATTATTTAAGGATATTTTGAAAGTACTGATGCTTTACTTGCTACATTTGACAGTTGTCTTTCTGAGACCTTTCTGTAACCTTTGTCTCTCCTGGTACTTGCTGCCCCCTGCTGGTTCTATTTTAGAAAGAAGAAGAAAGAAAGAAAGTCACTTTCGGCTTTTCCCGTTTAGGCGTCGCCACAGCAAATCGTCACACTGACGACTCACATGTTGACATTTGGCACTTTTTTTTTTTTTTTTTTTTTTTTTTCCGCCGGCCCTTCCTAACGCATCCCTGATTCGAACCCGGGCCGCAGCAGGGAGAGCGCTGCGCCTTGACCACTAGCCTACCAGAGATGATTTTGGAAAAAAGAAGAAGAAGAAAGGAAGCTTTATTTTATTGTCATTGTAACACTGTGACACAACAAAATTTAGTCTGGAGCCGAGGACCTTGGGCCGCTGTGTGCACGCACATTGCCATCACGGGCAACTTGGGGGGGTTGAGTGTCTTGCCCAAGGACACTTGGGACTGCAGACACCGAGATCCGAACCTTCAATCTTCCGGTTGGGAGAAGACTGGTCTACCCACTGTCGCACCTCAAAAGAAGCAGCTGATGATCCCATTTCCCAAATCAGCCCATAACAGAACAATCTTTTGAAAGAAATCGCCTTTCTATGCTTTTACAGCACACTCAAAGCTCTTTCACACATTATTCGGCCATTCACCCATTCGCACTCCCAAGCACTCACGCATTCACACACCGGTGACATCACCGGGAGCAACTGGGGGTTTAGTGTCTTGCTCAAGGACACCTCGACATGTTGACTGGACAAGCCGGGAATCGAACCGCTAATCCTCCGGTTAGGAAACGACCCGCTCTACCTCCTGAGCCACAGCCGCCCCCCACACATCAGTAGAGCCGCCCCCCGCACATCAGTAGAGGTGAGTGTGAGTGGCTGGTGGTCTACAGAGGGTCTGAACTTGATAGCTGTCTCCTTGTTGTCCCGGTCAAAATGAGCATAGAAGTCATTTAGCTCATTGAGGAAGGAGACATCTGTGGTTATTGGGTGGAGCTGCCGGGCTTCTAGTCACTGATGACCTGGATGCCCTTCCACATACATCAGGGGTCAGAGTTTGTGAAGTGTTCCTCAACCTTTAGCTTGTAGTGGTGCTTGGCCTTCTTGATGCCCCTCCTCAGGTTGGCCTGGATCAGCTATAGGCCTGTGCATCACCAGATCGGAAGGCAGAGTTGTGTGCCTTCAGCAACACCTCCTTGTTCATCCATGGCTTCTGATTTGGGTACAGTGGGGCAAATAAGTATTTGATACACTGCCAATTTTTCAAGTTTTCCCACTTACAGAGAATGAACAGTTCTGTAATTTTCATCATAGGTACACCTCAACTGTGAGAGACAGAATCTAAAAAAAAAATTCCAGAAAATCGCATTGTTAGATTTCAAAATAATTTATTTCCAATTTTTATTGCATGAAGAATGTATTTCCGATCACCTACCAACCAGCATGAATTCTGGCTCTCACAGACCTATTAGTTTGTCTTCAAGAAGCCCTCCTATCCTCCACTCATTGCCTGTATTAATTGCACCTGTTTGAACTCATTACCTGTATAAAAGACACCTGTCCACACACTCAATATATCAGACTCCAACTTCTCCACTATGGGTAAGACCAAAGAGCTGTCTAGGGACACTAGGGACAAAATTGTAGACCTGCACAAGGCTGGGATGGGCTACAGGGCAATAGGCAAACAGCCTGGCGAGAAGGCAACAACTGTTGGCGCAATTATTAGAAAATGGAAGAAACTCAAGATGACAGTCAATCTCTCTCGGACTGCGGCTACATGCAAGATCTCGCCTCGTGGAGTATCAGTGATCCTGAGAAAGGCGAGGGAGCAGCCTAGCACTACACGGGAGG